ACGCGCTCTGGATGTGAATAAACACGGTGGTGCTTGATGGACTCGGCAGGGTTTTAAATGCAGCACCTCGACGAGGTGAACTTCCCCTGGCTCATCTCAGTGGAGTCTTAACAGTGAGGTCAGGTGGTGTTTGAGCCATTTGCAAGAGAAGCTTATGGCTACAGTGGGAGTTTGGGTGCCATTCTCAATGCTTCTTCCAGCTCCTCATCCTTTGACACTAGCCTATGATTTGGACCCCTGCATGGGCTCTGTCCAAGAGAGGAGAGCCGGCATGGACTATTGCACCATTAGCGATGTGGGCTCTTCTGTTTCCCTCTCACTTCTATGTAGGAGTCACCAGGTTGATAGTGAGCGGACAGAACTGGTGTTTGAAAACTGCACCGAGATTTTTTTGGATGCAGGAGTCATGCCTTGAGCAGGTGCAGTGCTGACCTTGGCCATCAGTGGTGAGACTCTCCAGTCCTGTGATGCTACGGGCAGCTTGTGTCCTCTGCACTCAAACTGAGAGTGTTCACGAGGGGTCTTGTTGCTGAGAGCTGTTGTCAGCACCTGGTCCGTTTCCCCGTGTGATTATGGTTTATATTGGGATCTTGCCTCAGGCTATGTGACGTGAGAGGTGGACAGGTCAGTGTTGGGCTACTTTCTGTACCGTGCCTGGATCAGGTCAGTGTTGGGCACCTTCTGTACCATGCCTGGATCAGCTTGGGGCTGGCAGTCCCTTGTGTCTGTGAAAACATTTTTCACCTGAAAATTAAAGGAAAACTCCCTCCTGTGCCGTAGGGCCTTTGCGGGAGGGGCTGTGGCTTTTGCATGGTCTTAACTGCCTTCCAAGTGCGATTACAGGATATTCCTCGCACACCCAGCGGCGGGTGCACAGACCTGTCAAAGCTGTAAATTGGCTCTACCTTGTCCCTTTGGATATGGGCTTGGTCTGCGCACATTTTGATGCAAAACCATGATGCATGTGGAGCTGGTTTACAGCTGGCAGTAAAAGGGAGCATGAGTGGAATATGATTACTCCTGTTTTAAGAAGCTTTGTCCTCAAGTCCTTGCCATGGAAAGTAATGGTCTGGGCTAGTACAGATCTGCTATATATCTTGCTGGCGAGGTGGAACCTTGAAGGTGGGGATGTTCTTCAGTTTTTTGTTTCTTTAGTCAGCCATGCTCGGGCCTCCTGACATCATGACTTGTGTGGCCAGTGCTGTCCTTCCCCAGAAACAAATTAGCTTGGAAACGAAAGAAAAGACTGGAATTGGCATAGCCAATAAAGCTTAAAGAGAGGGTCCTCGGAAAGATGGTCCTGTAAGAGTAGGATCTTCCTGTTTGGTCTGCTCCGGCCTCCTCTGGTTCTTGACACGCCGGTGTTTGTTTGCTACTGTTGGCTGTTTGGACTGCCCATTGGTCTTGATGAGCCAGATGCCTTGAATGTTACCCGTGAAACAGTCAGCTGAGTTGTACTGACAGGAGGGTGTACGAGACAAAGCTCGACTTTGGAGTCGTAGACAGAGCACAGGATTAGAAGCCAGGAACAGCCCAGTGAAAATGTTGCCTCTCGCACCCTCTTGAGCAAATCATGTAACTTCTCTGCCTCTGTGTTCTTACCTGTAGAGTGGGGTTGTGGGGGTCCTGGGAATGGAGCTTCAATAGGAAGAGCACTTTGCAGAGGGAGAATGTGTAGACATGAAAAGTGGCACTCGGGTTGCTTGCTAGAGCTGGAGTTTTTACAGCATGTTCAGCTGCACCAAGTCTCACTGAAATACCCCTTGACTTTCCATGCGCAGGCCCGTGTGTGGATTTTTTTGAGCATATTTCTGGGTGGTGTTTTGTTTTTTGCATACTCCCATACTAAGGCAGAGACTGGCAGCCAGATGGGGAAGTATGAGCAGAAAAGGGGCATATAGAGTGTGTCTTGGAGCCTTTTGACCAGCCAGCTCTCCAAAACTCAGTGTCTGTCTATTGATTCCAGTGGACCTCCTGGCCCCTAACAGCTTGCTTTTATTTTTTAACTTCATTATTTCCTTTCTTCTTCCTTTCCTACCTGCTAAATACCTACAGGCTCAAACCTTTTGTAGCTCTCCCATATGTAGGTGTGTTGTGGGGCTGTGTGTGGCACTTCAGAGACACAAGAGGATATGAGTGCAGTAAGCAGAAGATCTCTCAGTCTTATTCTTCCTTGGCTTATGTTTTGGACACTTCCTTGGAGATTTCAGTCCCTGCAGTGACTCTGTGAGAAATCCACCACGACCAACATCATCTCTCTTAGTGCATCTTGTCTTTGGTGTCAGCAGTGTGGACAGAAAAAAATCACTGATTTCCTTTTAACAAAAAAAAAAAAAAAATCCCCCCCAAAATATGATTTTTTAAAAATTCAATTATTTTTTCTCTTTACCAATAAAAAGATGTAAACATCACACTTTTTAAAAATAAAATTTAAAATGATAACTTATGGTAAAGCCTAAATTTACCATTATATATTAAAATACTTTAAATGAAAAGCCATAGTCAAGTTTGTGTATGTTTGCTTTTGAACTTTACAAGAAGAAGTCAGGTCGCTGAAGGGGGAGTGACTTGCTTATCAGCTGGGATCCGAGTTGGAGTTGCGCAGCTGGCTCTTTATAATAGCAGCCACTATTTTCTTCTTTTCGGTGGGTAGATCAGTGCTTCCCCTGATGCACCGGTGACCCTGCTTCTGGTTGTGAGCCCCATTTCTGCGCTTGAATTTCCATTGGTTTCACAACCCCACCCATCAATGGTGTTATCTCTTTTGGGGTAGTTTTGGAATCACTGGTCTAATTTATTCAAACTTGAGGAACCAATTAGGAATTGTGAGAATCAGCATAACTTATTTCCCCTGTCCAGTCTATAAATAAAAATGAGGTATGAGAGGATGAGATCTCTTAGTCCCAAAATCTTGAAGGACGTGGCAACCAGACCCAATTAACTCAGTCCAGTTAAGTGTTGTTAATTCTTCCTTCTTTAATAAGTGGCTTCGTTCTGAATGCAAAACGTATTTTGATAATATTTCCTTCTTGAAACATTTTAAAATCTTTTGATATAATTAAAACAATGTTCTAGTGGCTTTTTAATTGAATTCTAGTTTCCATCCAAATTCAGCCTGTTGCAAATCATTTGTCAGAAATTAATAATTTAACAAATAAGAAATGTCCTTCACTACTTTCTAACGTTAAAATATGTAAAAGTTAGGGCTTTGTGTAAATGGTACACATTAAGCTAAATAATTACTCACATGAAGACAGACTGTATATATACACATTTCTCATTAGCAAAAAGTACCACCGAATTGTATCCCCAAACGATGATATTCTTCCTTTTGTTAAAATAAAAAGTGCAAATGAAAAACAAGGTGAAAATTGATTTGGATCAAAGTTTCCTGCTTGCTCATTTAAATCATGATTAAAATTGGTTTGATTTAAATCAATCCATGTTGAATGTCAGACTTGGATTTCTTCCACCTCGGCCCAGGATGAAAACCTCATTCCACACAACCGCTCCCTCAGGAGAAGGCCTGAGAAAAAGATCAGCTTTACACAGTGCCCTGAAGGTCAACAGAGACTGACTTTGTCAGTTTGGCAGGCAAGCCAATTCCAGAGCGGTTGCCTCCTCGTTAACAATATCCAGCTCTTCTGCTAGGGGTGGTGAGCAAATGTGCAGCCCCCGTCGCCCTCTGTTACTGCAGTGGGAACCGGGGGTTCGGAAGCCCTAAGTTATTCGCACCCAAACCACACACAGCTTTTTAAGTTGGATGCACCAGCATGGATTGCGCCCTGGAAGTCCGGGCTGCCTGGGGAGAGTCCTCTAAGCACGGCGCACCCCTGTTGTGGAGCCCGTCGGGTAGACATGCAGCTGAGTAGCTTCCAAGTACTCGTGGAGGAGCTCCGTGCAGTCTGTTGCAGTAATCCTAGCCAGAGGCTAGAAACGGAGTACGCTCAATTGGGAGCCTCTGCAACGCCGGCAATCCTGATCAAATGCAGATGGAAAGAGGTTTCATTGGCCCCTACTCTACTACGCTTCTCCGCACAGCAAGCTTTCTCTTCAGCCTGTTTTTATCAATGGCTGCTGTGCTGCTTGCATTCAGGCAAATTTTTTAATTGCTCAAAAGTCAAGAAGTTTGGGCTTGTTTCATGGGGAGACTTTTTAAAACTGTGCCTTCACGCAGTTTTGCTCCAATGGGGTATTAATATCGCTTTACCTATCGCCGTGCAACTTAGGTTACACGTGTAGTTTAAACAAAGAGTTTCCAGTTCATCTTATTCCCTTGGTGTTACTACAGGAATGCTCTTAAAGATGCATGCGACGCAGTCGCTCGGAGGCTTTGTCTTTGTTATGGAAGGAGAGGAAAACCCGTGCGTCGATCATCTCTTTTCACCGACCGCACAGTTTACTTTGTGCACTTTGTTTAACGAAACTAGACTTGCTTTCCCGTCTTTTGTTCTCAGCCTCTTTGAGTTTCCAGAACAGCAGGGGATAGTTCATGTTAAAAAGGTTTTACTTGTTTTCTTTTTTACCCTGAAGATTTTGCAAAAATCCTTTTAAGAAAACAAAGCTTCAGGGCCCCATCACCACTTCTCCTGAACCCTTACATACTCTGCTTCGGGCACGTG